CCTCTACCCTCAAATAAAGTAATGCCTGATAAATACTATGCTAAATGTTACACAAAAGTGAAAATGTTTGACAGAGACTCAGACCTTACCTAGAAGGGATCATGGTTTTTTGAGTCCGGAAAAAAAGGTAATGTCTCTTATAAGACAATTAGATATCAGTGAGAAATCCTGAAACATGCTATGAAAGTCTAGAAAAGAGACTCCAAACCCTTCTCATCCATCATAAATGGAGAAATCAGGAGTTCTGTACTCTAAAAAACAGGAAGTTTGAGCAAGTTCAGGTTTAGGAAGCAATTTAGTGAACACTGCCAGCCAAAAATACTTAACAACATTGTTCCTGCAGCCCACAGTTTGGGGCTAAAATATGTAGTATAATACAAAAACTTACAAAGAAATGAGAATCAAAACAATGAAAATAAGATTCTACCTAGCAGCCCAAATCTGCTCTGACAGCAATAGAGTTTGTGGCTAACCCTGAAATCTACTCTTACAAGCTATAATGATCAAAGCAAAAACAAGAAATTGAGACCTTAGAAAATGCTTGTTTCAAGTGTTTCATGCATACATTTTTTTTTACATTTTCCAAATGGTTTATTGTCATGACACCTTTAATCTGATTCAGGACTGCACTCACACTCAGCGAGAGGGACACCAGAAATGAGCTTCTCTAACAGTAAAGTCATCCTTCCCCGCTAGAGCACGTAAAATGCACGTGCTGAATCCCTAACATGGTGTCCAGTCTGTCCAGATGTCTTAGCCCAGCCAACAGTCAGGGCTCTCCACAGTCTGGCAATTGTCCTCCTTTCCAGTGTTATCTTCCACCGCTCCTCAACCCAATCCTCTGACCCAAGTAGACAGCCATTTCCTCCCTCACCTCCACTCCACATGCCCAGCACAGTACTTGTTCACCAGATCACAGCTGCCTAGGTCAGCTCCAACGATAATGACCCACATCTTCCCTTCTGCATATCAAATTCCTTCCTAGCCCCCAAGGCTTGGCTCAAGCTCCACACCCTCTATATTCAAAGCACGTGTTCCTTAAACATCCCAGCTACAAGTGTTCTTTTCTTCCCTCAACCATTTGTCATGGTCCTGACTCATGCTCACCTCCCTTGAGTGTAATTCTCTTTTTTGTTCCTTTCCTTTCCTATTAGCCCATGCCCATGAGAAATCGAGGCTGGAATTCTCTCTTATTTATATTTGTATCCCTTCAGACTACTTCCAGAGTCCCTTACACATTACAGGTACTCAATAAACTTTGTCATCTTTTTGGTAAATAAAAATATTGTCCACAATTTATGAATCCCATGAACAAATAAGAGCATGTTATTCTCTAGACTGCTCCCCTCCTCCCTAGTTCTTTCTTCATGTTACTGAAGTCTGCTCTCAGCTTATGCTTTTCAGAAGGTTTCTGGAGCCCTGTTTGCCTAGAATTGTCCATGTTCAGCCCTTGGTTCCTCCCCTCCATTCCTCTTCAAAGAACTTTTACTTATTTATTTATTTATTTGTTTGTTTGTTTGTTTGTTTGTTTGTTATTGAGACAAGGTCTCATTCTATCAGCCGGGCTGGAGTGCAGCGATGTGAACAGGGCTTACCATGCCTCAACCTCCCAGGCTCAAAAAATTCTTCAGCCTCAGCCTCCCCAGTAGCTGGAACCACAGGCAGGCACCATCACACCTGGTTTTTGTTTTTGTTTTTGTTTTTGTTTTGTACAGACAAGGTCTTGCAACATTGCCCAGGCTGCTCTCCAACCTGGCTCAAGTGATCCTCCCTCCTCGGCATCCCAAAGTGCTGGGACTACAGACGTGAGCCATTGAGTGGCCTGAAGAGCTTCTCTCCTCAGTTTCTGCTATGCTGTCTCCCTCTCTGATGGAGGGACATCCACAGCAGCTATAGATTCTCTGGTTAGTTGAACACTGATCCTGAGTTTGTCTTTCTAAAATAATCCTGGCACAGTCATCGTCCCAAATTTCAGACGTTGGGGTTTATGCAGCAACATGATCACAGAGTTTTGTTTACTTCAGTTGTAATCCATTCTGTGACAAGCAGACATTTCCAGGTGTGTCCTATCACAGCCAGACCACCATCCTCACTGCCACTCCCACCTGCAATGCCCCAGGCTGCCCTGTCTTCATGCCCTGGAAAGTGTGCATAGCAGAATACATAAAACCAGAACCTCCAACCAGAGACTTGCGAGAAACACACCATTCCTAGGCCACTTGCTGTGGGAAAAAGACAGTTTCTAACTAATGAAGGAAGACTAAGTCATAATTGGAAATGCAGGCTTTTCCCTTTCAAGGAGAAATTAATGTTGGCAGAGTTGCTCTTTTGAGCTGCCCTCCAGTGATTTTGGAAGAGCCATTTTAGAAGACAGAAGGAAAGGAAGACAGTGTGAATGGCAAATTGAGAGAAGAAAATAGAGAAAGAGAAGGCGATGGAAAGAGAACACAGAAAAGGAGGGAGACAGAGGGAGGAGGGGGTGGAAGGGAGAGGGAGAGAATAAGGATCCGAAAGAGAAGGGAGCAGACTGGGGAGTGGGGAGGGCAAGGGAAGAAGGGGAGGAAAAGGGAAAAGCAGAAGGAGAGGGTGGAGGAAGACTGACTGGGGGTACCACCACTGGATCTCATAAGCGCGGGGCCATCAGTGCTGCAGTGGTCTTGACTTCTCCCTCTGGGAACTCTAACATCCACTAGGAGACAGGCCGCCCACAGCTTGTTAGAAATACTCAGTGCTACAAAATCTGTGTCAGAGTTCCCTAGCCCCAGACAACTGAACAGAATTCAGGAGTTCAATCTCCAAAGGCTGTTGTTACCCTTCTGCTCTCAGTACCTATTAAAGAGGTAATATCTTTGAAAAGTAGGTGGCCACACCCATCCAGAGTATGCCTTATGTTCCAGATTACCTATTAATAACTTCTCCTGTCCTCACTAGTTCTCCAGATTGGATGCTGAATTATTTGGTCTCCCTATTAATAAGAAACACAAGAAACTAAAACTTAGTAAATCTCTAAACAGATTGAAATACTCAGTCTGATCATTCCCAGAAAGAGAATGAGCCTGAATTGATGACCAGAAGGACTCTTCCTGGAGGAGCCAAGGTATGTGAGATAGTTCCAGGGATAATATGACAGTGGGGTTGGAGGAGGGCACCGAAATCAGGCTTCATAGGACAAGGCTATATATAGCACATGCCTTGAATATTGAAATAATCATTTATGGAAATCACTATTTAAGATTGGTGGTCAGGCATGGTGGCTCATGCCTGTAATCCGAGCACTTTAGGAGGCCATGGTGGTAGGATTGCTTGAGCTTAGGAGTTCAAGACCAGCCTGGACAACATAGTGAGACCCCCATCTCCACAAAAAATACAAAGTGGTGGCATACACCTGTATTTCCAGATACTTGGGAGGCTGAGGTGGGAAGATCACTTGAGCCTGGAGGCAGAGGTTGCAGTGAGCCAAGATTGCACAAGATCGCACTGCTACACTCCAGCCTGGGTGACAGACAGCGCAAGACCCTGTCAAAAAAAAAAAAAAAAAAAATCCAATGGCAGGGGAAGAAAAGACCACAGTGATAGTTTCTGAAAGGTAAAGCAGAACAAATAATAGATAAATAATGTTTGAAAAATCTTATGTAATAGAGAAACACTATAATAATTTCTGGTTGGTGGTGAAGCATAGCAATGAATTATTCATTCTAAAATATACACTGTGAAGGCTCAAGTTAAGACCTCTTAACTCTCCCATACCAAGAGTCTATCATAAGGAAGGAAAAAAGGGAGGAAAAGAGAGAGGAAGGAAGAAAGTGAGGGAGGAAGAAAAGGCAAATTTCAAGACAATCTGTGGGAAGAAGGAAATCTAAGATGTTAAACTATGAAGTGAATTATTACCACCAGGAAACTAAAGAGCAATGAGACATTCCCTAGATAATAAACAGAGAGGAGGGGATAATCCAATAAGCATCTTGACAGGGAGAAGAAATCTTCTGGGGAATGTAAGAAAATACTGCTTTAGCCCCACCCTTATCCCAATAATCATTCACATTATTTACTCAATCATTCATTCATTCAGCACACATTCCAGAAGCTGTGCAGAGTACAGTCAAGCCCAAGTTGAATCTGAGGGCTGTGGCTGAGCATCCTCCATGTGTCAGACCCTGTGCTAGATGCTAGAGGCACAGGCATGAAGGAGATATGGAGCTCCAGGCTGGGAAGGTCTCAGACACAATCTAGAAATTGCTACAGTTCTAGATCCTCGGTGGGATTTGAGCCTGCCAAAGGATGAACCGAGAAGTCCCATTCAGACCAAAATTCACCTGTAGCAGACCACCTTGATATGTGGAAATGGTTTCCTAATAAAAGTTCTGCAATACAGCATGCTTCTCTTTTTGCCTTGAGTCACAGCTAAGCGTGGTACAAATCTGCAATCAGTATCCCTGGGCTAGGTTTTCTTACATTTAACTCCCCCAAAACATAATTATAGGACTCTTGTACTATTATCCTGGTTGTAGTGCTTCTATTAAGTGTTGCTTTACTCTAAATCACCTCAAATTATTCCTAGAAGAAAACAACTTATAAAACAATTGTTAAAAATAAAAAATAAAAACAAATTTTAATATTAGAAAACATGAATTGACGCAGGAACCCTAGAGATTTCCAGTGGGTCCTGTAAGGACAGAGAAGTCCCAGAAAGAGGCCAGATACCCTGGCTCACTCAAAACTGAGGAAGACACTCTAGGCCAGGACACTCCAGAACTGCCCTCTAATCTAGGGCTGGTCACGACCAAATCAATGGAAGTGAAAATGAGTTAATTGACAGTCCATATCAGATTTCCTATATAGTCAAATACATTGTCTCCTCATCTGATAGCAGCCCTAGGCACAGAAACCAAGTGTTCAACTTTCCCTGTGACACCAGGCAGGATAAGTGGGGGGATTCAATGTGAGGCACACCACTCCCAATCTCATGTGGTAACAGAGCCTCGGTGACTGGATCTACTTACATCAACAGGGGCAGAGCATTCTCTGTGGAGCAGGATCCTCAAAAACAGCCGGCCTCTACTTCTCTTCAATTATTTCAGCTTCTTTAGAACAATTCAAGCCACAAACCTTGGAACTTTCTATAGCATTGAACCCCAGGCAACTTGTAGATCTCCCTTGATGGAGGCTGGGAAAAAGAGAAAGCAATATTTTATTACAGACTTCGGTTCCATTCACATTTCTTTCCTCCTTGGCACTCCTGTCCAGCACTGTGCAAAAGAAGCTTTCCAAGCACACCAGGCACTGAAGGAATTGGATGTATCCCAGAGGATCTCAGAGGGATGTTATTTATACCTACTGATATTTGCCCAGTTAGAAATTAAAACTGAGAATTTAAAATTTGTGTATTAACTCATTAAATAATAGTAATTTTGTTGAATAATACTTGTTATAAAAATAACTTTATCTTCAAAATTGTTATAAAAATAACTTCATCTTCAAAATGAGAAGAATTATATCATTTTACATTCTTTAAAATCTCTTAAATATTTGGCTTGACCAGACACAGTTGGATTATCATATCTGCTTCTGGATTCAATTTGTTGCAATGGCACATGTCACTGAGCCTCTAGAAAACTCCACTGTACACTCATGAGAGAATGAGAATAAAAGCAACTTGGTATTATTATTAAAATAATTTTGATCTATGGATCTCCTGAAAGGGTCTCAAGGACTCCCAGGAATCCCAGAACACGCTGGGAATCACTGCTCTGGACAATGAAAAGTGAGTCTCATTTCCATCGCACCATCCCCACCTTCAGAGGTAACTAGTTATCAGTTACTTGAGTAATTTTCTAGAAATACTTTACACATATATAAAAACTATGGATTTGTAGTGTTTTGGGTTTTTTTGTTTGTTTGTTTTGCTGTAGTATTCTTTAGACAGGGTCTTGCTTTGTTGCCCAGGCTGGAGTGGAGTGGAATGATCATAGCTCACGGCAGCCTTGAACTCCTGGGCTCAAGTGATCCTTTTGCCTCAGCCTCCTGAGTAGCTAGGACTACAGGCACACACCACCATGCCCAGCTAATTTTTGTATTTTTTTATAGAGACCAGGTCTTGCTATGTTGCCCAAGCTGGTCTCAAACTCCTGGCTTCAGGCAATCAAGCGATCCTCCCACCTCAGCCTCATAAGGTGCTGGGATTACAAATGTGAGCCACCATACCTTGAGAGGCACAGATTTTTAATTTAAAAAGTTGGATATTAGTATGCTATATATTTCACCTTGGCTTGTCTGTTATACATGTTGGGGACAGTTCCACGTCTGCATACATAGTTACCTCTTTCCTTTCCTCTGATCTGGTGTGTCCCTCTGAATGGATATAACTCCCTATAACTATATACAGTGCCACAGTGTTCAGGCGGGCTGCTGAATGGCTGCTGTAAGTTGCCCATTTCTTTAGTGGAGTACTTATTGGGAATAAAATGGCCACACAAAGCAAGAACAAATGCTACACATCTTAGCACAACTTTCCTCCAGCTTCTAGTTTCCTAACAAGGTATCCAGCTGAAGTCTTGCAAAGTTGACAAAACAACCAAACTTTTACTGTACTTCTGCCCTTTACTACTTGCGGCTTACCTCACACTGCTCCAGAAAATTAACATTAACAATCTCTGAGCTAACGTTTATAGGGATGTTTACAACCACCAGCCTCTCCTAGTTCTTGAAACACTCACTATCATCAGCATCACATCAGCGTCAGGGAAGAAAACAGGACCCAAGTGTCCCCAGTTTTTCATGTGTTTGTTTGTTTGTTTTTTGTTTTTTGAGACAGAGTCTCACTCTATCACCCAGGCTGGAGTGCAGTAGACACGATCCACGATCTCAACCACTGCAACCTCCGCCTCTAGGGTTCAAGCGATTCTCATGCCTCAGCTTCCCAAGTATCTAGGATTACAGGCATGCGCCACCATGCCTGGCTAGTTTTTGTATTTTTACAGAGACAGGGTTTGGACATGTTGCTCAGGCTAGTCTCGAACTCCTGACCTCAGGTGATCCACTCGCCTTGGCGTCCCAAAGTGCTGGGATTACAGGCATGAGCCACCGTGCCCAGCCCTCAAACAATATTTCTGAAAGCTAGTTTCCCGCAGTACTAAGGTGGAAAAAGGTTAATCCTGTTGGTTCACAATTTCGCTGACATAGAAGCTAAAGGAAACCCCACCTCATAAAGCTAATTTGCTTTGATCACATTGAAGATCTCAAATGCTAAAAGTTTCTTTCTTTCTTTGTTTGCTTGTTTGTTTGTTAAGACAGGGCCTTGCTCTGTCACACAGGTTGAAGTGCAGTAGTGTGATCATGGCTCACTGCAACCTCCACCTCCTGGGTTCAAGCGATCCTCCTACCTCAGCCTCCCAAGTAGCCGGGACTGCAGGTGCATGCCACCACACCCAGCTAATTTTTGTATTTTTTGTACAGACAAGGTTTTGCCATGTAGCCCAGGCTGATCGCTAACTCCTGAGTTTAAGCAATCCTCCTACCTCGTCCTCCCAATGTGCTGGGATTAGAGGCATAAGCCACTATGCCTGGCCACAAATGCTAAAAGTTTTATAGACTATCTGAGTTCATTTCTTCACTCAGATTTACTAGCTGTACAATCTTGGGAGGTTGCTTAGCATCTACTTGTAAAATAGAGATGATACTTATGTGATAAAGTTATGAGGAAGTATAATTATAATTATGTACAAAATGTTCCTACCACATAGTGGGTACTCAGCACTCAGTAATTGTTAAGTCCCCTTTCCTTATTGTCTATGAACCAAAATGAGCGGTGGGGCTGATCTTATGTCCTGGACTTAGCTGGTTTCTCAGGGAACCCCAGTGGTGTAGTCTTTTAGGAAGTCTGGGAATGTAGGAAACTGAGGTAAGAGAAGATGGTAGAGCATTTTTTTCCCAAACAAAAGGAATTTCCTGGAGTGTCTGTCATCTGTCTGATTCAAGATGAGAAGCACAAGTCTGCTTTCCTACATCCCTCCCCACCAAGCCAGGAAGATGGGCACCAACAGTCCCTGCACTTCTGTTTCAGCTTTCCAATCTGTCTCTGAAATTACATAGTCCAGTGTGGTTTGCATTTGTAGGTCCATAGAGCATACAGAAAACCCCGCCCAGGCTTGGAGGAGCCCCTCAGCTAAGTATGACAATTTTTGAATCCTTCCAAGAGTAGAACCAGTACCTACAATTACAGGATGTATTATTCCCTCCATTTACAAATGAGGAAACCAATATTTAGAGATGCTAACTAAATTCCCCAAGCAGCCCTAACAAGGCCAGAGTCGGAATTCCAAACCAAGTCTGTCTTATGCCAAAGTGCATGTTTTCAACCACATCATCAGATGACGCTCCAACTAGGAAAGATAACACCTTTCCCATGATGTAGTGAAGCCAGTCAGTTTCTTGGAGATAGTGAGATTTCACAGGACAGACAAATATCCTTAACTATAGGCTGATGGTCTTACTAAAGCAAAAGTATAACTAAAATCAAAATCAAAATTCTTCAGAAAATTATTTCTAAACTGGACACGAAAGTAGAATGGTAAAACACCAAAGAGTAAACCAAGATTCAATTCATTTTTGGATTATTGTAGATTATTTATTTTACTTAAATTTAATTAGTATTTTGTTAGGAGATTAAGATTATTACATTATTTCAATAGATTATTGTTTTAATAGCTTAATAATTTAATAATTTAATAGGAATTTATTCAACCATGTTTTTGAGTTCCTAATATGTAATATGCACTATAGTCGATAGAAAGATGAAGGAAACATATTCCTTGGCCTCAAAAAAGATATAAAGGATATTACAAGATATAGTAGATATATAGTTTGGGTTGGTAAGGTAGTAAGAAAGAAAAGAACAAGGCACTAAAAGAAGGAGAAATCAAGCCAGTTGAGAGTTCCCTAAAGATTTGTTGGAGTGAGGAGGCATTATTTGAGCTGACTCTTGAAATATCAGTAGGATTTTGTCAGGTAGAAAGAATGCAGACAAAAGTCTAAGAAAAGGGAACGATTTGAATAGGCAAGTTATGAGATAAGAAGATTAATAAATAGTTGGCGGGAGGACAGGAACACACAGGTAATTGAAGACAAAGCTGGAAGCTGGAAGATGACTGAGGTGGGAAAACGCAGGGCTCCAAATGCCACCAAGGGGTGAGCACAAGAGAGCCAGGAAGGGCTTTGGAGAGGTGGGATGGCAGGCTCAGAGAAGCTCTGTGAGGCTGAACCTGGCATGTGGAGTGCTTTGGAGGAGAGACCTGGGACAGGATGACCAATGAAAGCCTTATATACAATAATGACATCAGGAAAGGGAAATAAATAATGTGGACATATAATAATGTAGAGAGGGGCTGGGCACGATGGCTCATGCCTGTAATCCCAGCACTTTGGGAGGCCAACGCAGGTGGATCATTTGAGGCCAGAAGATCAAGACCACCCTGGCCAACAAGGTGAAAACACGTCTTTACTAAAAATACAAAAATTAGCTGGGCATGGTGGTGCACACCCACTGTAATCTCAGCTGCTTCGGAGGCTGGGACATGAGAATCACTTGAACCTGGAAGGCTGAGGTTGCAGTGAGCTGAGATCGAGCCACTGCACTCCAGCCAGGGTAACAGAGCAAGACTGTCTCAAAAAATAATAATAATAATGTGGAGAGAATTCAGAATTGACCAGTGACTACCACAGGAGGGAAGAAGGAAGGAGTCAAAAAGCCTAGGTGTCTGGGCTGCATGTGACCAGGAGCACATAGTTATTTATTTATTTATGAATTTATTTTTGATATGGAGTCTCACTCTGTTGCCTAGGCTGGAGTGCAGTGGTGCCATCTTGGTTCATTGCAACCTTCACCTCCCAGGTTCAAGTGATTCTCCTGCTTCAGCCTCCTGTGTAGCTGAGATTACAGGTGTGCACCACTCCACCCTGCTAATTTTTGTATTTTTAGTAGAGATGGGGTTTCTCCATGTTGGCCAGGCTGTTCTCGAATTCCTGACCTCAAGTGATCTGCCTTCCTTGACCTCCCAAAATGTTTGGATTACAGGCATGAGCCACTGCACCTGGCCAGTTATTTATTTATTTATTTTTAACCTGGAAGAGGAATTGGTTTGTAAGGGGAGACTGTGAGTTTGGTTTGAA